CACCGGTAGCCTTGAAGCATGTAGCTCGATGCTTAGCCACATTCGCTTTTAAAATCACTACACCGCAACAGCAGGTAAATTTGCTATGACTATTGCGCATGTGACTTCCGAGGTTTTTCGTCGTGTCGAAGAAACGCAAGGCCTTGCACAAATTGCACTTTAATCGGCCATCCGATTCTGGATGAACTCGTTCGCGATGTCGCTTCACGTTTACATTCCACCGGCAGCCTTGGAGCATGTGGCTTGATGCCTAGCCACATTCGCTTTTAAAATCACTACACCGCAACAGCAGGTAAATTTGCTATGACTATTGCGCATGTGACTTCCGAGGTTTTTCGTCGTGTCGAAGAAACGCAAGGCCTTGCACAAATTGCACTTTAATCGGCCATCCGATTCTGGATGAACTCGTTCGCGATGTCGCTTCACGTTTACATTCCACCGGTAGCCTTGAAGCATGTAGTTCGATGCCTAGCCATATTCGCTTTTAAAATCACTACACCGCAACAGCAGGTAAATTTGCTATGACTATTGCGAATGTGACCTCCGAGGTTTTTCGTCGTGTCGAAGAACGCAAGGGCCTCGCACAAATTGCACTTTAATCGGCCATCCGATTCTGGATGAACTCGTTCGCGATGTCGCTTCACGTTTACATTCCACCGGCAGCCTTGGAACTTGTAGCTCGATGCCTAGCCACATTCGCTTTTAAAATCGCCACACAGCAACAGCAGGTAAATTTGGTATGACTATTGCGGATGTGACTTCCGAGGTTTCTCGTCGGGTCGAAGAAACGCAAGGCCTTGCACAAATTGCACTTTAATCGGCCTACCGATTCTGGATGAACTCGTTCGCGATGTCGCTTCACGTTTACATTCCACCAACAGCCTTGAAGCATGTAGCTCGATGCTTAGCCACATTCGCTTTTAAAATCACTACACCGCAACAGCAGGGAAATTTGCTATGACTATTGCGGATGTGACTTCCGAGGTTTTTCGTCGTGTCGAAGAAACGAAAGGCCTCGCACAAATTGCACTTTAATCGGCCATCCGATTCTGGATGAACTCGTTCGCGATGTCGCTTCACGTTTACATTCCACCGGTAGCCTTGAAGCATGTAGTTCGATGCCTAGCCATATTCGCTTTTAAAATCACTACACCGCAACAGCAGGTAAATTTGCTATGACTATTGCGCATGTGACTTCCGAGGTTTTTCGTCGTGTCGAAGAAACGCAAGGCCTTGCACAAATTGCACTTTAATCGGCCATCCGATTCTGGATGAACTCGTTCGCGATGTCGCTTCACGTTTACATTCCACCGGCAGCCTTGGAGCATGTGGCTTGATGCCTAGCCACATTCGCTTTTAAAATCACTACACCGCAACAGCAGGTAAATTTGCTATGACTATTGCGCATGTGACTTCCGAGGTTTTTCGTCGTGTCGAAGAAACGCAAGGCCTTGCACAAATTGCACTTTAATCGGCCATCCGATTCTGGATGAACTCGTTCGCGATGTCGCTTCACGTTTACATTCCACCGGTAGCCTTGAAGCATGTAGCTCGATGCCTAGCCATATTCGCTTTTAAAATCACTACACCGCAACAGCAGGTAAATTTGCTATGACTATTGCGAATGTGACCTCCGAGGTTTTTCGTCGTGTCGAAGAAACCCAAGGCCTTGCACAAATTGCACTTTAATCGGCCTACCGATTCTGGATGAACTCGTTCGCGATGTCGCTTCACGTTTACATTCCACCGGCAGCGTTGGAGCTTGTAGCTCGATGCCAAGCCACATTCGCTTTTAAAATCACCACACCGCAACAGCAGGTAAATTTGCTATGACTATTGCGGATGTGACTTCCGAGGTTTTTCGTCGTGTCGAAGAAACCCAAGGCCTTGCACAAATTGCACTTTAATCGGCCTACCGATTCTGGATGAACTCGTTCGCGATGTCGCTTCACGTTTACATTCCACCGGCAGCGTTGGAGCTTGTAGCTCGATGCCTAGCCACATTCGCTTTTAAAATCACCACACCGCAACAGCAGGTAAATTTGCTATGACTATTGCGGATGTGACTTCCGAGGTTTTTCGTCGTGTCGAAGAAACCCAAGGCCTTGCACAAATTGCACTTTAATCGGCCTACCGATTCTGGATGAACTCGTTCGCGATGTCGCTTCACGTTTACATTTCACCGGCAGCCTTGGAACTTGTGGCTTAATGCCTAGCCACATTCGCTTTTAAAATCACTACACCGCAACAGCAGGTAAATTTGCTATGACTATTGCGGATGTGACTTCCGAGGTTTTTCGTCGTGTCGAAGAAACCTAAGGCCTTGCACAAATTGCACTTTAATCGGCTTACCGATTCTTGATGAACTCGTTCGCGATGTCGCTTCACGTTTATATTTTCGCTAAATGTAGTCGAGCACTGTGGCGCAAAAAACGACGAGGCATTTGGTCGTTGTGGAGCTTATGGTTTTCGTCGACCTTTGTAGACCCTTTTTTGCGATGTGCGACACGTCTGAGCCGGCTCAAGGTTTTCCAGGGAGCCAATGAGCCTACCCGCCTGCACGAACCGCATCGAGGGCACGTGGGAGGTGCGTA